ATCCTTCAGTGGTTCCCTTTCACTGACCAGGACCTGGATCGATTTCTGTGTTCAGTTTAGTAAAACTGAATGCCACACAAGCTTGGGTAATTATGTCCTCTTGATGAGGGTTGTTTCTTTCAGTTGGGTTGTCACTGGCTCTGTCATCGATCTCTATGCAGATGTCAGTCCACTTATGCAATGCCAAGATGTCAAGGGACTCCTTAATGACCACCCTAGCCTTTCAGTCTCCTTAGCTCCTGGTTCTGACCTTGACAGGTCTCTCTCAGCACTGTCAGTGACTCAAATTAACCCTTCTCTGAACAACCGAACTCAGGTGTCAGTTCAAGAAAACAGGAGTTTGAACAGTTTGCAGTTGGTCAATAGAGAGGAAGGAAGTGTTAGCAAGCACCATATTGTGAACGCAGGTTAACCGTTTTCTGAAGAAACAGGATGTGGTTAAAGAAGTGTCCTTTTCCACTGTAAGGTTTGTGATGGCCAGGCAAATCGGAATAATGAAATACACATAAATAGTGTGTGAGTGAGTGCATGTGAGAGAAAGATGAAGAGATGTACAGTTTGTTTAGCTTTGAGTGGAAAAAAAGCTAAACAAATGCTTTGAGTGGAAAAAAACTATTACTGCATAGTTTGTTTACTTCACTTTTACATCAGAATCATGCTTCACACATTAATGTAAGGAGAACTGACATTTAGAGCCGGTTAATGTTAAGATTTTATCAGTACCAGTAGCAGTGCAAAACTTATTAACAATAATTATTGACAATACCAATTCCAATACCCATATCTTTAAAGTCAAGAATAAAACTTTTCTGTGAACCATTTGCTTCTTTATTATTTGGTACTTTAATTTACTTTACTGTCAGACCAGCAAAACATGGTCAAGGCAAGCATTTTCCATTAGGCCAGATCAAATATATTTAGCAGACATTATCTGCGATTTTTGCAGAAGAGGCAACCACAGGTTATGAACCTTGTGTAATGTTCACCAGATACGAAGTGAAACAGTCTGTCCATCTTCTACCTGCAGCAGGATCCTGACGCTTATGTACCACTCTGCTGTACTTATCTGCTGTACTCTGTTATCGATCTGGATGAAGTTTAATTTCTAGTGGAGGAGCAAAAAAGGCTGTTGCAGGTATTATGACAGATTTCAGATATTTAGCTCATTGCACATTGCAAAGAAATTTCTTTTGTCATTGCCATTGCTGATGGTGTAAGTGTTCTGATTTGTTGGGCTGTTATCAATATCGTTTTTCTTTGTAAGTGTGTGTAAATTTGGAATGCCCAATGATTTTTCAGATTTTCAGATTTTTCTCCAAATTTGGGATGGCTAGTTGTGTCATAGAGATGCCACTCATTGCTACAACTCCTGCTAACAATCCATGAGTGCGTTCGCCTCCAAAAACATGATGTCAGCCGTCACTTTTTCACACCCAGCAGTCCCCATGCCAGGCTTGCAGACATAGACACTTCATGTGCAGCTTTATGCAGGCAGACTGTGGGCACCCAACTGACCAGCGGGGGTCACTGGTAAGTGATGATATGGTCAAGCCTTAGCCCTAGACCTAGTGACCCCTCATCCCAGCAGAAAAAGAGCCAGTTTGTTCCACTGCTGCATGCTCTTGGTCATTATCGACTGGTGACACATCTGGGATCAAACCCCGGCCAAAGATCTCAGCTTGCATTCAAAGCGAACACCATAACCACTGAGATCCTCCAAAGCCCCCATTTTGAAACAGTAAAGAGCATAGAATGAAAGAGGAATCTTGCTACGGTCAAGCCTTAGCCCTAGACCTAGTGACCCCTAATCCCAGCAGAAGAAGAGCCAGTTTGTTCCACTGCTGCGTGCTCTTGGTCATTATCGACTGGTGACACATCTGGGATCAAACCCCGGCCAAAGATCTCAGCTTGCATTCAAAGTGAACACCATAACCACTGAGATCCTCCAAAGCCCCCATTTTGAAACAGTAAAGAGCATAGAATGAAAGCGGAATCTTGCTACGGTCAAGCCTTAGCCCTAGACCTAGTGACCCCTAATCCCAGCAGAAGAAGAGCCAGTTTGTTCCACTGCTGCGTGCTCTTGGTCATTATCGACTGGTGACACATCTGGGATCAAACCCGGCCAAAGATCTCAGCTTGCATTCAAAGTGAACACCATAACCACTGAGATCCTCCAAAGCCCCCATTTTGAAACAGTAAAGAGCATAGAATGAAAGAGAAATCTTGCTTCGGTTTCCTCAGACTCTTTATACATGGGCCAGAGATTGAGCTCAGTGCACGATACATGTTTACCGTGTAGTCTGTCTTCCATGATTGTAAGTGTTCTGATTTGCTGGCTCATTAAGAACATTCTGAGAGGGGGCGTGGTCTATAGCAGAACATCCATAGTCAGCATAGGAACACAGACAGCACTGGAATCTCCTGTTACCAATAGGAACCAGGCAGAGAGCAGAAGGACTGCAAGAGCTGACTGTCTGTTTATGATAGAATGTCTGTAGTCTCTGGGAAAAGAGGCAGAAGGTCTGAATTACATTTTCTCTGGTTCTTCTGGTTCTTTCAGTCCCTGGACTGAAAACTGCACATGGGTCTTAGGTCTTTGGTGGATTAATTGAACCAAATTAATTGAACCAAATGCTTGTTACATGTTACATGTGTTTCCCCTAACTTGCATGCTAGATTCTTGTTACCATTTAAAAAGCATATTTGCATGTTACTGTTCCGCCACACTTTAGTCCATTAATGATTGACATCACCTGGTGAGTTGAGTTAATGGCTTGCTGCAGTCGTTATAATTCTGTTTGACAGTCAGACATGTCAGCAGCAAAGCAGTTAGTCACACAAGATGTTAAGGTTTTTGTAAACAACTATCTGTAATAATAGACAGATGACAATGATAACTAAATTTTAGTTTGGTAAGCAATTCATGTTAGATATAAAAGCATCATCATCATAGATATATTTAGCATGTTTTGAAAAACGGGTATCAAAAATCAGGATGTGGTCTGGTCCGTTCTTTTCTGTCATCAGATCACCACTACTGACCCCTGGTGACAGTGAGCATTGGTCTAATGGATCAGTTTGGCTCACAGACTTCAGTGCAGTGTCCTAAGCACTGTATGAAGCTTCATTTCTGTATAAATAATGACTTAATGCAGAGATACACATTTGTTCAGACTTCCGGTTAGGACTACAAATAATGTCAGTGAATTATCTATTATTCTGTGCAGGGTTATTCTGGACACAAACGTGGCTGAGAAAGAAGAAAACTTGTGATTTTTCTCTTTTTTGCTAATTTACAAACAGTTTGAAACAGATCCAGGTCATTGATTTGTGATTTCATGGGCGAATTCTCTAAGATCTGTCATCCCAGTTGAGTGCCATCACCGCTGGGGTCTGTAGTGCGCTGGGTGTGAGGGAAAGGCCAGTCCAGCTGACACAGCGCCATGAAATTAGGCCTGTGTTAAGTGGGCAGCGAAGCCACTATTTTGACACAGTTCAGCCTTTGTGCCGGGGTTTGTGAAAGGGTTGCCTTGTGAGCTGGCCATCAGCATCTGACTCTAACAAGCAGAAGTGTGATGGGAGGGAACAGGCCTAAGAGCTGCACCCTGAGGAACACAGTCAGGTCTGTCACGTTTTATTTACTGCAGTTATCTTTTATTTACCATCTGGAGGCAGATAATCTTAGTCACCACCAGTAACTCTTTAATTTGAGACTTTCGAGAGGATACACTGCGCAGCTTGTCCGGTTTCTTCTGGGACAGGGCTGCTGTGAGTCTTTGCATCCCAGATATTGTTCAGTGTTTCCCCTCATGTGGCCCTGCAGTGAGGTCATTATAATGAACATTCAAAGCTTACCCCTGGGTGGGTGAAGTAGGCTTGGAACACAGACTTCAATGAGCATGTGCAATGGCCTGCATCCTGTTTGGCCAAGTACAAGCTTGGTAAGTAAACAGCAGCAGTGTCAGCCTTCTTACACGGAAGCATTTACTGAGCTTTTTAGTGTCGGACTTTTATTTTGGTATTGTGAATGGTACATGCTGCTCAAAGCATAAAGCTTCAGTTTCATTTCAATTTCAACACAGATACACAGCTTGCACTTAGGCAACACTTTAGTAAATTCATTGGAAAAAGTAACTGACCACATGCAACTTGTAAAGTCCCCCCTCGGTTTTAGTTATAAATCTGCATTTAAAAAAAATTGCACATGCATTTCCAGGGAAGGTAGTATGATGTAGTGGGAAGGGGCAGGGTTCATAACCAAAAGGTTGCTGATCAGATTTGCTAGGGTGCTGCTGTTGTACCCTTTGGCCAGGTACTTAAGCCACAATTTCCTCAATAAATATCCAGCTGTATACATGGATAAAATTGTAACCTACTGTATGTGAGTTGCTCTGGATGAGAGCGTCTGCTAAATGGCAATAATGTAATGTAAAGGCACACAGCAACACTCCCCGATATACTGTAATTAAGCGCAAATTTCACCTTTACGACAGGTTAGTAAATCCCACACACATATTTACCACCTGCAGTGCACAAGTAGTGATTTCAGCTCTTCATCTTGTCAGTTCTCTCCTATCTCCTATTAAAGCAGACTAGGAACGCGGGTTTATTGCACCGATCAAAGCTATGAGCTTGGGCAAGCATGTACCACTGTAAATGAAAGTCAAACAAGGAAACCGAGCTAGTGAAGAAAGGAGTGGCCAGGCTCGAGACAAGAGATCAACTGTCTCCCACTATCCACCACAAACACAGAGGCGGTGTGAGAGGCAGGCCACTTCCAGGGAGAGGACAGCAGCCACAGCAGAAGTGGTGTCAGGAGAGAGTCATGGCCCTGTAAACACTCAGGAGACTGAGAGAGAGAGAGAGAGGTGCGGAGGCATAGACGGAGATGAAGCCAGCCCTCTGGGAATCCTGTTGGAGGCTGAAGATGGCCATGCCCCAGAGCCAGCGGAACAGGTGAGAGGAGCAGCAAATTAGGAGGGCAGAACAGAAACATGGGCAGCAGTGTGGCGCAGTGGTAAGGAGCAGGGCTCATAACCGGAAGGTTGCTGGTTCAGTTCCCCCCACTGGTGCACTGCTGTCGTACCCCTGGGCAAGGTACTTAACCCACAGTTGTCTCAGTAAATATCCAGGTGTATAAATGAATAAAATAAGTCACTCTAGATTAGAACATCTGTTAAATGGCAATAATGTCATGTACTGCGTGTCCAGGCCGGGGTGGTCTGTTCTCTGAGTAGGCTTGTGTGGGCAGCTGGACCTTGTTTAGAGATACGCGGAAAGGACCAGAACAATGGAGTCACAGTAAGGCACGCAAAAGACCACCTGTATCCAAAAAAACTTCATAGATCCATGAACAGGTAGAGTGATCCAAGCCCTAGACCCCAACTTGTGTTTTGATTGTTTTAAAATCACAAAATGGTGAACTGTGACACTGTCATACTGCTGAGAATAAAACGTGGATGAGTTCATCTGAGGTCTGCTCAGCCTTCCAAGAAATTATTTTTTCATTGTTTTGTTAGGCTGCTGTTATCAGTCTACCCATAATTCTGCCAATCAGGCCAGAGGAAGCGCAGTAGGAGAAACCTCATCAGAATCTAACAAGACAGGAAAGTGGAGCCACACCCACTGATACACAAAGACACGCCTTCAGCCCTCCTGTCAAAAAGTTAATCATTCATGCAGCCCTGGGAGTGGCGTTCCTCAAGAAATCTGGCAAACTAGGCTCCTCTGTGTTTCTGGTGCCTCAAGAAGACCCACCGAAGTTGAATCCATACATTTAGTCTGTGCTTGTATCATTTTTTGACAAATTATGATAAATGTTGAAAAAGATCTTGTTGTTGAACAGCGTTCTTGCTATGAGAATGGTTCTGTTCTATGGTTCTGTTTTTTGATGGGTGTCGACTGACACATTAAAAAATTTAGGAAATATGGTGGATTGGCCCAAATCTTGTTGTTGAACAGCGTTCTTGCTATGAGAATGGTTCTGTTCTATGGTTCTGTTTTTTGATGGGTGTCGACTGCCACATTAAAAAATTTAGGAAATATGGTGGATTGGTCTGAATCTTTGAACACACCTCTAATAATTACCGCCTTTACTCTGGCACTCATTGTGCTGTCGGAAGTTGGATCTTATTAGTTGCCCTATACCTTGTGGCTGTGTAAAATAAATAGTACTGTGTCCTCAAACAGACCTTGCTCTCAGCTGAGAACTACTGTCTCATTGTGGAACTGTACACATCCTGTCCCCGTACTGTCACTATACTTACTTTATGCACTTTTGTATGTCGCTTTGGATAAAAGCATCTGCTAAATAAATAAATGTAAATGTAAATAATGTGTTTTTGCAGAGGAGGTTTCTTTGCACAGTCCAGGTCAGAGTTTACTTATCTGACCAATCAAGCTTAAATGATAAGAGGTCAAAAGAGGTCATTTTGGAACAAAACCATTTTACAGAGAGGGTCCAATGAATTGTTGTATTGTGTCACTGCCGACCGTCCCAGCACAAGAAACTAGAAAGAAGAAGTCTCTTTCTAGCGGTTACAATTACAAATGCACACACAGCTGCTGCATAGCTACATTACAAAAAGCACTCTGCCCAACCAAGTGCACACAGTCTCTGTGCACACACAAAAACTATGGGGAGTGGAACAAAGGATCCTTTATCAGCATTTTGCATGAAAGTACACCAGGGAGCCAGCAACACTCTTGCGTTCCTTCCTGGTTCGGTAAGGAGGTCTAATCATGACTGAAGGAGTAGTGGTGAGGTGTTCCAGTGATGGCAAGTCTGGGCTCATTCACACCAGAGACACAGTATTCAGCACAGAGCGCCTGCAGACTGATGTCGCGTTCTTACTGATCGATAATCTTGATTCGCCGTTCTGAATGGCAGTCTCAGCTCCAGGAGAGGTCGAGTGTATGTAGTCTCCCAGGTGATGAGGAGGCTCAGTTTAACTGCTGCGTCACAGTTGGAACGGAGGATCACGCATGCCTTTGCAGGGTAAGGTACGCCAGGGGAGGGGTGGCGCCACTTGATAGCATTCGGTTTCCCGATACAGAGACACACGCTCAGCAGAGTCGGTGATATTGGAGAGTCCTCTGTAGGACGTTTCTAGCAGATTAGAGCCGCCACAGGGGAAGCAAGCTTTCAGAACGCAGGCACAGAGTTCAGCTGGGGGTGTAAACCCAACTGCCTCGCATGGTGGTTGCCTGCTAGGGGTAACTAGTCAGAACCAGTAACAATCCTGACCCTGATGCCGTTTTGTTGATTAGCTGACGGGTGACATGGTTGCGCCTCATATTGGCGCCCCCAAATAAATCAAGAGAAGTCTCGAAATTGAGTGAAAACAGAAACGCCTTCAAAATGCTATGACATTGTAAGTGCTACAACAACTATGATGAATATTATCATTAGTGCTGTTAGCAGACGTCTTTATCCAGGGCACAAATCAACTTTATTGTTTTTTTTAATGTAATTTTCTAATCTAATTTAACAGGAAACACCTGTGGGCTGTTCACATATGTGTACTATTGCAACAATATGTGCACCGTGTGAAATGCATGTATTTCATTGGGTGTTGGGAGAGGCCTGTATTCTGACAGATGAAGTTTGGGAGGGTAGACCCACGCAACTTTAGCAGCATGCCTAACTGCGGACTGTGTGTGATATACAGTCATGACTCACCCATGACAGACTCAACAGTGGCAGGTAAAACATATCATAATTGATCGCAGTATTTTTATTTTTTTCTGCTAGGGCCATTTTCCAGCCTGCGGTCAGCCTGTACACACGTGAATTTAAACACTGATCCAGGTATTAAACCCCTAAAATTCTGCCGACTCTTTGACCTGCACTGCAACATATTATACATTTCCTGTCCAGAAAATTGATTCAGAGGTCAGATGCTGATGGAAACACTCTTTGTTTGAAACTAGAGGCCACCATTGCACAACCTGACACTGATGAAAAATGTTTATCATTGTGACTGATGTGCAGTTACTACAGTATGTGTCCATACACTGGGTGGTGCTTCCGATCTGTCCTGAGATATGCTAGCTGAAATGTTTGCTCTTAGCCTGCTGGAACACTAGAAAAGATATTTGTTTGAAAGTTTGCTATGGCCATTCCTCACTAAAGACATCATGAAAAGATCGCCCTCTGTCTAACCCCCTCTGCCAGCTTTTCTCTGCTTGCCTAAGCAGTGAGGACAGCAACTCTGCTGTTCTGACTGAACTGAGCATCAGCTATGCAGCTTTTTCTTTTTTTTTCCTGGTAATGTATAGTGCTGAGAGAGCAATGTTGTCACATAGGCCAGTAAGTCTGTCAATGGCCCTGGTTCCAGTTCGGTAGCAGCAGTTTCATATCATGGTTTCACATTGCGTGGTTCTCCTCCTCCAGCCGGACCGAAGAAAAGACAATGAAACTGGTGCCTCCTCCCTCTGCCTGGTTTCAAGGGTCTAACATTTCTCTTGCCCTCTCGGCAATGCAGAGACTGAAACGTCTTCTTGAAAGGAATGAACAGATAGTTCTTTTCAGCAGCTTTGTTAAAGCTCAGGGATAAAGGGAATGCCTTCTGTCTGGAGGTAAAAGAGAAACAGGAGGGAAAGAGAAGGTTATGATAAACACCGGACTGAACAGAGACATTACTCCCACGCACCAACACACACACACACACACACACACACACACACACCAGTGTTTACAGTTGTGGCCAAGCCAAAAGCAGCATTATCGAGCATAAATTGGTCAGCTGGCAGCCGGTCCTCCGATCTTTGTCCTGTACAGGGAACATGATGCATCACTTTGGAGAAGTTCAGGAGAAAAGACAAACTCACCGCTCCCAGTTATATGGAAGAAGCCTGTAACTGATTCACATTGTTCTGCAAACAAACTTGCATTTATCTGCATTTATCAAGCAGATTTTCTTAACAGGTCATTTGATATAAGGTCTCCTGTACAGCAGGTAGCTTTAAAGAACAGCAAAAGTGGTTGTTATGCTACTGAGAGGGAATATTAACCGGCTCATCGCCATATGTATTGTTTATTAAGCTCATTAAATATACCTCTCTCAACTGCTGTCTGTTACTTTCTGTCTTTGCATTCTCCACTGCCCTCCTGCACCACTGCCAGTCTGTCTCACTGCACCTTTTCACTTTGATACAGAAAGGAAAACTGGAGACTGATTCTCATACAGCTACTTGGGATTCATGCGGTGTACTGTATACTAATATTGCCAGACTGATTTTGGTCCCTCTTCAAGTTTTTGTACTTTTAAGGTAGAGTGTGAAAGGCTCTGAAAATGAATTACAGTGCCGGTCACAGACCAGACCCAAACACGTGCATCGTGTAGTTGAATCGGTTTTCTGTTTAGGCACTGTAACATTTTTAGCGCTGTCTGTTATAGAGTATGCCACAGAAGAAAAGGATGTATTGTCACATTGGGGCCCAAACGTTGCCATAGCGGCTTAACATTGGCAACTCTCACCACCTGAGTTCTGCCAATGTAATTGTTTAGTATTGATCAACGGTTCCCTGCAGCAAAGAATGCAAACATTAACAGTTAGCAGTACAGCCCTTTCACTTAGTTGCCATTGCAAACAGTAGGCTCTGTGTTCCTGAGTACTGTGTTTTATCATTACATTATACTATGTTACAAAGTTGCTGAGCAAACACCATTATCCAGAACAACTTCCATCATATAGTAGTGGATACTTACTGAAGCAATTGTGCAGCAGTAAAACGATAGTGCCCCAATTGGGAGTCAGACTTAGGTTACAAGGTGCCTTGTGTTCTTCCACACAGCACGGATGCAGGCAGGAAATTTGCATGAAGGCAACACAAACAAACATGAAGGAGAGGGAACATGACACAGAACTATAGTTGAAAAGTGTTTTCTATTTACATTTTTATATTTTATACATTAATATTTTATATTTTGTTACATGCTTAACCCTTTTGCACGTAACTTATTTTTATTCTATGTAGTGCGCGTGTTACTTTACATGGTTCGTTATGTTTTCATTAGCATTATTAAGCTTCTCATAGTTTTCAGTTAGCATTTGCTATATTTTTTAA